TGTGCTGTGCTGTGCTGTGCTGTGTTGTGTTGTGCTGTGCTGTGCTGTGTTGTGCTGTGCTGTGCTGTGCTGTGTTGTGCTGTGCTGTGCTGTGTTGTGCTGTGTTGTGCTGTGCTGTGCTGTGCTGTGCTGTGCTGTGTTGTGTTGTGCTGTGCTGTGCTGTGTTGTGCTGTGCTGTGCTGTGCTGTGTTGTGCTGTGCTGTGCTGTGTTGTGCTGCGTTTTGCTGTCTCATAGTGGGCAGCTTCCATAATTATTATTATTAATATTATTAAAGTTATTAATATTATTAATATTATTAGTATTATTAGTATTATTTTACTATTATTGTTATTATTATTATTATTCTTTGGAAATAATCAATGTGAAAGTGCTAGTAATATTCTAATCTAATCTTAATATTATTCCATTAGAGAGCATATCCTGCATTGCTAACACTCACAATTGTAGGAAGAAATCTTCAACAAAATACATACTACGTCACCTCACACTCAAATAAATGAGTGGGACTTTTACCATCTCGTTTGGGTCATTCTGATCCACTTTTGTCCGGCTAAAGGACGCATCAGTGCTACGTCCGCTCACAGTGCTGCGCCCTGGTGGGTAAGAAAGTGTTTCACTATTCGGACAAAAGACCTATTCATTATTTTGAGTGTAGGCCTAAGTCGGGTCTCAACTTGCGGTCAATTATCAAGTTAATTAGAAGTTACGACGCGTTTAACACATTAACGAGCGCCTAATGAGAAGCGCTAATCCTGCGGATGAACTGCGGCTTGAGTGACACTTGATGAGTCGACTTAAGTAGACGTGTAACATCTAACTAACTCTACTCAATTAGATGGTCAATTTTCTTAATATATCTGATTTATCAAGTGCTAATCAGATGACAGGCTAGTTAAAAAATTAACTAACCTCATTACCCTTGCAATATATATACATATATGAATAGAAAACTATATAATTTAATGATTTATAATTTTAATGGGGGAGCGGCTCCCCCTTAAATAGATGAATACATACTTCTAAATTTAAAAACTTATAATTTAATTTTTTTTTCATTTGATTATGAGTAATGTTGCAACTTTGTTATTCAAAATAAATAATGCCTTAGATAAATAATCATATTACAATAATCACAATAATCAAAACCATAAAAAAAAACAAATACGAACGTAGAGCTATCAAAAATTCATAAACGGTATAATACATAATATATTTTCCAGGTAAAGTAAAAGATTCAATACTAATACATCGCAGAAGACCAAGTTACCGCACACATTTGGTCTAAGCCCCAACTGGACAAATGACAATGAATCACTGTTAACGAACAATGACTTTTTGGTGACCATCGGAACAACAACTTTAAATATGCTGCGCTTTAAAGACACTTCGCTAAATATGGAGACACTCTGCTAACTCGTCTCTTTCAACGTTAGTTCAACGTGATTTCAACTTGATATAAACTTCATTTCAACATTATTTCAACGTTATAATAATGACACATGTCGTATGGGAAGTTAGTCCACTATCTATCACCTGAAAACGAAAACAAACTTCCGACTAAAAATTTTGAGTCGGACCCAATTTATTCTTCAACTCAATTCAACGCCCCTAAGCCAGGGGGTTGGCCCTACCCCACTTGTATGTTCTGTTGGTTGTTCATTGTTCATCTTGCCTCATATTCCCACAACACATTTAAAATCATGTCAATTTAAATCTCACTTCTCCGTCTAATATCCAACAATTAAATTTTCTATTTTTTCCACCGCAGTGATTCATGAAAAATACGATCAGGCAAAATTTTCCCTCTATATATCTAAAAAAATTTATCCTTTGTTTCGCAGTAATTTTAGAAAAAAATACGCTCAGTCAAACTATCTTTATGTATTCATCTATTAAGGCCTCAAGTTGGGCCGAATATACAATTAACACTATTCCCACTTATGTCGCCATACAACGTAAGTCGCCAGCCGCTAAGCAAACAATCTGTTAACCACAGATTGTTTGCTTAGACGATTGTTGCTGTTGCTTAGATTAAACCGACTGGAAAATTTGTATTTGTTTCGTGTGGTGATTTTGGATATTCTATTGTAACTTCATTAATTAGACAATCTAAATCGTAGTGCTTATAAGTATTGGAGTGTGTAGAGGCGAGCTTAGCTCAGTGTCTGCACAGTGGCGACTCACGTCTCTTCAGTTGCACAGAAAGTCACGTTGCACAGCGAGGATACGACAACAACATTCCGCAACAACAATATGAAAACAGCTGCAAAATCAACAGCACTGATGTATCAGCAGCCTAAATGAAACCAATAATGGTTGAAAATCAGTAAGAACACTGGATCTACAGCAACAGCAGCAAATGCAACAACAGCAAGAGCAGCAAAAACAACAGCTACAACAGCAACAATAGGAACAACAAAAACAATAGCTACAGCAGCAACAACAGCAACAACAAAAAGAACTGCAGCAACAACATCAACAGTAACAACAGCAACAACAGCAACATCAGCTACAACAGCAACAATTACTTCCTGAAATTTGCCTTTTGATCTACCGTCATCTGAAGAAAAGTTCCATTCCCTGATAATATAAATCAACTAATTCTCTGGTCATCAATCGCACGTGTATAAATATATGTGTATATATGTATACATATATTTATTATATATTTATATTTCATTGACGGTCTGCATCTCTCTTGTATACTACTGCAGGTATTTATTTCTCATATCTTTATTAATATCTCATTTATTTTCAAATATTTATTAATTTAAATATAGGTATATATTGATAAGTATCATTAATATGTTTATTATCACATTGATTTTCATAGGTATATATTCAAACACGGTATATGTATTTGCATATATAATTTATTATAAATTCAAAAGCAAAGAATAGTCCAAAAAAAATCATATCTTTATAGAAAACGTTTATTGAATTTTTGTGGACTATTCTTTGCTTTTAAATTTTTAGTCAACTTGCGATTTAAGCAAATAAGTGACATTAATAATTTATTATATATTTATATTTCATTGATGTCTGCTTCTCTGCTGTATATTGCAGGTATTTGTTTTTCATATGTTTATTATCATAACATTGATCATCATATATAATTAAATACATGTATATAGACATATATTTGTTATATATTCATATTTCATTGATGGTCTGCATCTCTGCTGTATACTACAGGTATTTATTTCATATATCTTTCTTTTCACATTTATTTTCATGTATATTTAAATACTTCACATATAATTAAATATATGTACATATACATAGATTTATTAAATATTTATATTTAATCACAATTGGCATCTTTGGCCTTTGCTATATACTGCAGGTAAGTATTTCTCATATGTTTATTACTATCACATTTATTTTCATATATAATTAAATATATTATGTATATATGTGCATTATATATTTATATTTCATCGATGGCTGGCCTTTTGGCTATATTATTTTGGTAAGAATATTTACTAATATAAGTAAAAATCCTATAGTTTTAGGTTATTTATTCAATAGATATATAGTTTTAGTAGGTCAGTATATCTTTAAATCACTTCTCCAGCTTATGTCATGTCATTATCTCTTCATTTTCTCATAATCATTTTTCTCACAAATCTTTTATTTATTTCAGATTCATTTGAGGAAGTTGCGAGGAACACATTTGTACACAAGCCTTCTTCTGACATGTAAGTTGTATTTATATATAATTATTATTCATATTATTATGTTATTTATAAAACCTTTACTTTTGATTCCAATATTCTGTTAATGTTACAAATTTTTCATGCAATTACAAGAAAAGTTAGTGGTAAAATATTTGATATTCATTAATTTATATTAAATGTAATAATAACACAATCTTATCCACTGTAGGTATACTGTAAAAGCTCAGCAATACTAATATGCTTTTAAGTTAATCATATATAACATAAATTTCATGGAAGAAATTCCTGCTATTGATGTAAAATAAATTTCCTAATCAATTTAAGGTCATAATGTAAAGATAATATTTTTTAAACATGAGTGTAAAGTGAATATCTTTTAAATATGGATGTAAAATTAATATTTTTCTAAGAGGAATGTTAAAATGGTAATATCTTTAAACAGTAATGTAAAATTGATATTTTTTACCTGGTTTGTAAAGTTAATATTTTTGAAACAGGATTGTAAAATTGATATTTATTAAAACAGGAATGTTTTTTAAACAGCAATGTAAACTTAACATTATTAAACAGGACTGCAAACAAGAGTGCGCCGTCTAAAGCACTCTCATATCGTAAACAGGAATTATCATATCATAAACATATCAATAAAATTGATATGTTTCATACAGTTAACTTGATATTTTTCAAACAAGAACATAAAATAAATATTTATGTAAACAGGAACATAAAAGTTAACATTATTTAACAGGACCGCAAACAAGAGTGGGCCGTCTAAGAGCGCCGCAGAGAAGGCCGCGTCCACAGCGGCCGTAGCGCAGCTGCAGGGCGAGGTCTGCAAGATGCAGTCTCTGCTCACAGAGCTCGTCACCATAAAGAAGCAGATCTCTGACCTGGGGGCCTGTCAGCATCCCTGTGATGAGGTCGCAGAGAGGCTCAGCCAGCTCTCTGATGACCTCTCTGCTCTGCGCAACATCTGCGGACAGGTGGGAGTCTCTGTAGGCATGAGTAGTCTCTGTTATGAGTAGTCTCTTATGAATAGTCTCTGTTAGTCTCTGTAGGCAGGCAGGTGTCTCTGCCATGAGTCTGTAGGCAGGCAGGTGTCTCTGCCATGAGTCTGTAGGCAGGCAGGTGTCTCTGCCATGAGTCTCTGTAGGCAGGCAGGTGTCTCTGCCATGAGTCTCTGTAGGCAGGCAGGTGTCTCTGTAGGCAGGCAGGTGTCTCTGCCATTTATTGATTTAAATTATTTTTAAAATAATTCATTATCATGAGAAGTAATAAAAAATATTGAACAAATAGTCAATCAATTATCAAGTGTCGCCACAGCAGAGATATAAAACTATCTAGCAATTATTCTGTTAATTTTGAATTGAAAGAGGTGTAGCCTGCGGCTACTAATAAAAACCTTTAACAAATAATTAAATTATTATCAGAAGAATGTAATAGAAATATTCAATAAGTGATTAATTGTTTAATTGCCTACCCAGGTGCCCCCCGTGGCAAGTTGTACAAACATTTTACACTCAATTAACTAATTAACTAATCATTCATCAGGTGCCTTCAGTGGCTCTGCAGGCCATCCCTGAGCCTGCGGAGACCATAGAGCAGCTCGAGGAACTGCTTAAGTGCGATGGACTGGTGGGTTATTGCTGGATTATGGGTGGATTATTGCTGGATTATGTGGGTTATTGGTGGATTATGAGTGGGTTATTGCTGGATTACGGGTGGGATATTAGTTGGTTATTGCTGGCTTCTAAGCCCCTGGCTCAAGCTGCTGCTGGTGGGAGCCTCCATGCAATTCTGTAGCCGCGGAGACCATTAAGCTGCTTAAGGAGCTGTTGCAGTGTGATGGACTGGTGGGTTATTGGTGGATTATGGGTGGCATATTGGTGGATTATGGGTGGCATATTGGTGGATTATGGGTGGGTTCAAGCCCCTGGCGCAGGCCGCTGCTGTAGGGGCGCTACAAGCCATCCCTGTAGCCGCGGAGACCATTAAGCTGCTTAAGGAGCTGTTGCAGTGTGATGGACTGGTGGGTTATGGTTGATATTCGTAGTTTATGGTTGATATCTCTAGGTTATGGTTGTTTTTGGTTGATTATGGTTTATATTTACTATCATTATTATTTGTTGGTGTGTCAGTAACATTGTAGGTTATGGTTGATATATACAATTATTAATATTTGTGTATGTATCAGTAATACTTTTGCCGTGTCTCCAGATGAACGTCCTGCTGGGGCTCACATTGCGTGGCGTAGTGGCACATTGTGTCGCATTTTTTTTTATTATTGTTACTGTTATTATTATTTATTATTTGTTGATGTATCAGTAAGACTGTTGCCATGTCGCCAGATGAACGTGCTGCTGGGTCTGGCAGGGTCTAGCCTGAACGCGACGATGCGTAACCTTGTACGCCGCCTCATGCGCCGCTGCCTCGCCATCAAGTTCTCCTACTCTGGTGAGGGCTGCAGACCATGGTCTGTAGGGTCTACAGAACATGTTCTGCAGGCTGTACTGGGTTTGCAGGCAGTGGTCTGTAGATCGTACTTGGTCTGCATATCATGGTCTGCATATTTGTCTACTTAACAATTATGTCAGACCTGAAGACCGAAACTTGCAGATGGTCTGCAGTCCAAGTATGTGCAAGGTCTGGTCTGCAGGCTGGTGTGGTTTAATAACAATCAAGAATTATTAATTTATAATTAAGACGCTTGGGTATTATATTTAAATATGTTGACGTTATTATTTTTTAATATTTAAAATTGAAAAAAATGTCTGTAATTTCTGACATTGTCCTGAATTATTAATTAACGTATTATCTATTATTAATGTTATTTCAATTTAATATATTTATGGATCTACTTAATGCATCACTAGTAATTTATTTATTAGTTGATAAATAATATTTACACTGTGCAATTAACTTATTATTCGTTATTAATATTTATTATGTGTATTTTATTTGTTGATCTACTTGATGCATCACTACTAATTTATTTATTGCAGTTATATAAATAATATTTACGGTGTGCTTAACTCAATGTAGTATATTGATTGTTCTACTTGATGCATCGCTACTAATTTAATTATTTCTGGGCGCAGTGATTTATTGATGTACTTAATGCATGACTAATAATTAATTTATTATTAATAAATAATATATACCCCACAGGGCTGGGCGAGAAGCGCGCTGCCTGCAAGATCGCCTTCAAGACGCACGAGGCCGGCCGTATGGTCTCAGGTACACTCACGG